AGAGTCATTATAGTCAAATTTTGGTGGAATCACCAGCTGGTTTTATGTGTGTGCTCTTTTTATTTAAGATGTGCTTTAACTAGGAAATTACTGGGACAGTATCCACATATATCTTTGTATTTATACTTGGCAATGATAAGAATACGGTTTCCTTTTATTTCCAAAGAAGCATTGTCAGTGTTCCTTGTCCTCACATATACTTTGGAATCCTGTATAAATCTTATCCCCATCTTCAAGTCACTTTGAGTAATGATTTGCTATGCCTCTTCTGCGTTGATGCTGCCTCATAGCAGAAGGAAAGTTTGCTGGATATACGATTTGGTCATAATTTAACATTATGACAAAGTATTGAAAATCTTTCTGTAAAATGCAAGTAACAAATAAATAATTCCCTGATTAACTTCCCTCAGTGAGTGGCTATATGCACTGTACCCCTCAATCAAGTTATAATGTAACAACTTTTTGGATACATATTTTGAATGCAGGATTTGTTCCTTATTTTCTCAATCAAGTTATAATGTAACAACTTTTTGGATACATATTTTGAATGCAGGATTTGTTCCTTATTTTCTAAAGCAGTTTCATATTGTTTGATTAATTACTGAACATGGAGATAAAGGGAACTTTGAAATTCATACCTTGGAGTATTAACATGTACTCAGGACTAGATGTAAATGTCAGAGAGAAAAAAGATCTAATGAACTCTTTATTGGCGAAATACAGTATTGCAGCTGCATATTAAATGGTTTGTAGCTAGCATGTGACTTCAAATCAAAATAACCATAGAGATGCTTACTTACTACATGGACTTTCATTCAACATTGATAATGTCTTCTTTTGGGCACTGTAGAAGACATTTGGTGTGCTAGAAATTGTAGCAGTTGGTCATTTCATTGAGGTTTAGTAGATTTTAGTAAGGTTAGGAAATTGTCCAGGAAAGAAGCTGTGTAGCCGTACAAGTACTTTTCTTGCTGGAAAATTACAACACCATAAGTTTTCATTTTCCCTGATGCCTTCCCTTCCATAATAATGGCTTCAGGATTTAAATCCTTCGCTGTTATTGTGACTTCAAAGCCTTAAAACTGCAATTGAATGAAGCAGTTCATCTGTCATTATTCAAATATGAAACAATTATGATGAAATAAAGATAGAATTCCACTGAGAAATACCCCCAATCAATTTTCACTTATATTTAACTAGAAACATAAAATGATACTTAGACAAGTACGTTAGGTAATAAAAACTAGGAACATAAAAATATGAATTGCTGACCTATAACTTATTCATTTCTGAATGTTAGAAGCCCTGTAAATATATTTCACAAATATTGACAAAAGTCTAGGCTTAGCATGGAAAATCATTCCTTGGCTGGTTGGAAAAAGTGACCAACTTCTGTGGGTACTAAGGCCAGATCCACAAAGGGATTTAGGCATTGCAATGCTCAGCACTGACCTTTAGGCACCTGGGAAATCACCTAACCTCCCTGTATGAGGAGAGTTAGACACCCTGGAATGTGATGTGCAAAAGCCAGCACACTAGGCAGGGAGCCACCAGAGTTAGCCAATAGGAGACACCAATGAGAAGGGTGTGTCCTAAGCCTCCCCCCCTTAGGGAGTTTGGCACCTACTTCTGCTTGCAACCCACAACTGGGTGCCCCTCTCCCAGTATCAGGCAGCTCAGGGGCCTATGTAATTTCTTGCAACTAATGCCACATAACCTGGTAGTGGAGGAAGGGAAGAGCAGTATCTTATAACCTTTAGCTCAGTTGTTAGGGTACTCGCTTGGAATGTGGAAGATCCCAGGTCAAGTCCCCATTTTGCCTGATGAGAAAAAGGGATTTGAATGGGGAGCTGCTGTTAAAATGGCCTCCAATAGGGGAGATTGAGAGTACCTCACATCAGAATATCTCATGGACTAATGGTACTTGGTACAGGCACTGATTTGCACCTCTGATTTTCCCAAGTCAGCTGGGGACAGCTATGAAGCCAGGTTCCAGAAGGACCTGAAGCTGCTGTAGAAGAACAGGGCCTCCAGTGACTCCTTCAGTGTTCATGCACGTCTTGAGAGATGAACAACTTCAGGGGACTGAACTCCCTGTTTGTTCTGGAAGGAAAAATCTGCCCTCTGTCGCCCCCCTATCCTTCCAATTACAGTATCTGGGCAAAATTCTGCAAGTAGAACCTATGCAGTTTCTACTTCCCCAGGTTTTTCAGCAGCTGTGCATGATCTGAGCCCAAGTAATTAAGGAAATCTACATAACAATAAATTGTCCTGTTCAGAGAAGGATGACAGACTCCCCTTCTCTTTGGTATGAGATTCCCAAATATTGTCACAAATCTCTGTCAGCCCCCTGGCATTTTTTTTCAACACTACCAGAGTATTTTTTCCCTCCTGCATCTTTAGATCCTTACATCTTGTAGTTTAATTTGAAAACGTAATTTCTTCCAACCATCCTAAAATTAAATCTGATCACAATTAAAATCCGGTGGTACTGAATACTGAATTTAAAATCTGAGACATAATTAGCTAGAAGCATTTTGGGGTGTATTCAACTAATTACTTTAGCACATAATTATTTCTGATTTTACTTTGACAATCATAACTAAAAGCATTTGAAAATGTAGTTTATAATCTTCATTTCTTATACAACAGTTTTTCCACTAGATCTTTTCACTGAATAATATGTAAAATACTGACACCTAATGTTAACTTTCAGTATTATTCATTTAATAAAACTTTTGTATTGAGTTTGTGGAAAATATTTAAAATTAATTGCCGAACTGTAATTTTACTTTAGTAAAAACTTCATAGCCTCTAACATTTTAAACATAAGATGTTTGGATATATGATGGATAAGCAGACACTAGTGGAAGTAAGAGTGGAAGTCAGAAAAGCTGAAGCATCAAGTGAATTTTGCTGTATCAAACTTCACTCAAATAGAACATACGTCTATGTACATAGAATTAGCTAGTTAATGTTTACCCAGCGGTTTTTAAGTGCCACAGAAGGGCAAAGTATATAACATTCATTAACAAATTGTTTTCAGGTCATCGGTTGAGCTCTACAGGGAACAGGAAGAAATTTACCTTCCTCTCCCTGCACGTAGTCCATGATCCAACAAAATATTTAGGCACATGAGGAGTCATATTCAAGTCAAGGTGTTGAAAGCGATGCAAATTCTGAAGTACTTTACTAGACTGAGACCACAAACTTGTATCTCCCACTAAACCAAAGGGACCAATACCTGCTAGTGACTGGTCTTCCAATAGTTATTTAGGACCAGATTCCAACACTCCTACTTACCCTGAGTAGTCTACTTGTTGAGTAGTCCTGCTAAAAATCAGTTGGACTACTTGCTGAGTAAAGTTTTGTTCAGCATGAGTGGTGGTATCAGAATCTGACCTTTTAATAGTAAACTTACTAAGCATTATGTGGAGGACAAATTGTGGTTACTCCACAGTATTATCAGCAGTGTGGTTGCTTCACAAGTGCTAGCAGAATTTCTCTTATGTTCTATGCCCTACATCACGTTCACTAATTCTTTTCATTCACTCTTCATTCTTTTCATTCACACTATATGTGCAATGGTACTTTTCTAATTTCATGACATTATATGCACTCAGTCTTCTCCCACCTACAGAATGTCATGATTTTACAGTGAAAATACTTGTCCTTTAATCAAAAATGAAAACAAAGCTGTAACCACTGATGCACAGATACCTGAGCTGCAATTCAGTAAAGCTTCTGTGATTAAAAAGAAACTGTTTTAATGTCATTGTAACTGCTATATCATGCTTTAGTAAATCCTGGGGGAAATACAAGAGGCACAAAACCAGAGCTTCAGTGTTTGATCCAGACCTAATACCTAGGGCTTTTGGGGATTCCCTTGCCATGCCCCCTTAATGTAGGAACATCCCCCATTGGTCTTGTTCACTGATGTGTAGAGGTGTGTCAGAATAGGTGGGGGTGTGGATGGCATGCCTAGTGCTTTGGGAATCCCACTTTATGGAATGGCTTTTACCACCCAAAGCAGTTTAGTCCAAAGGCTTCCCTCACTCCTCTTTTGGCTTAAAATTCCAATAAAAAGAAGCTCTGAAGTAGCACTAGAGGCTATTTTCAGGAAGTATTGACCAGCATGTGAGATGTGATATTGCCTGTCCTGTTTGGCATACCCTTGAATTACAGATAATCACATATACAAAGTTCTTGTCACATGAGAAAATTTCCCCATTAAACTTAAATCAGTTTTTAAACTGATTTAATTGAACTGGGGCAAATCCCTGTGTGGGTGCTCATATTTGAGTTTAACAGTAGGTTATCTCCTTTTTGTCAGACAGTGGGGTGTGGGCAGCCATAACTAGTGGTTTGAGCACAAGACAGTAGATAAATGCCAGGACCAAAGTCAGAAATCAGAGCAGAGGGTCAGAACCAGGTTACCTGGAATTAGACAAGATGGGAATGGGGCTGGGTCCAAGTCCAAGTCCGGCACAAGCAAGCATAGCAGCTGTCACAGGTAAATACTTTGAACCACCACCAAATTGCTGCTGCTGGGTTTAAGAATGGTCTGCTGACTTTTCCCACCAATCAGGCATTGTAGTTAATCATGCAGCCTACTATACAGGCCAGCTATGCTTGTTAGGTTGCCTAGAGACTGGTTCTGTTGCAGGTCCTGTTTCCTGACATCTTTAACTTAAGCCATTTCCTAACTGACTTCAGCTAACCAGTTAATAAGCCTTATTTAAACCAAAGTAAGTGTTTAAAATCACAGTTATATAAACCAGTAACTTTCTCATGTAGACAAGCCCTGTCTACATGGGTGCAAATATATTACTCTCCTTGAAGGTCCCTCCCTTCATGCTGCTAAAGTGGTGTAAAGTGGCTGTAATATAATGAGAATTCACCACTTTGGCCTTCTGAGTGAAACAAAAGCTCAAAATGATTGCTCCATTAGAGATTTCTCAAGCACCAACTAATGACTTTACCAAAAAAAGCAGATTTTCTTTTTAAAATGTACCTATGCATTTATTTAAACAGAATTGATGCTAATTAAAACTGCAAAATAGGTTGCAAACTTTTGGTACATTACTGAAGTAATAAGCCTAATATTTCCATTCTTTGTTATGCATCATATTGTTATAGTACAATGAGATTTTTTATTTTTTTATTTATTGAAGTCTTCACTTGTTCCTCTTCTCAAGCCTAATGGAATGAAACTATAAAATGTTTTAGAAAAGCCCCATTAAAATGTACAGATCATAAGAACTTGTGTAGTCAAAGTCAAAGCAAAGAGGAAATATTAGCTTTAATAAAAAGTACAGTCTGTTGTAAATAACTATTCAATCACCCTCACCCCCTTTTTGTTGTTGTTGTTGTAAATTGCAGTGAATATAGCCTAGTCTACTAGAAGGACAGAATTGCTCAGAAGAATAAATGCATCTTAGTCAGAAATAGATTAAAAGATACAGCTGAGCCATCAATAAGATCAGGATAGTGCAGCATTGTTTGCTGCCTGTTTTGCAGATGTAATTGCAGATCCCAGGATTCCAATAAATCTGTGTACATCATGGAAAGAATTGTAGAGAGGAACTGGGGCAACACGAAGAGCTTTTGGTTCTCGCATGTCACACTGCAAAACAGAAAAGAAACGTTTAATAAATTAATGTCACTTCAAATGTATTTGTCACAAGAAAAAGCTCACCTCTTCCTTGCCTTCATGCAATAACACTAACTAAAAACCAGCCCACCCTCTCTCCCTAAAGTCTGGCTACTGCAAGTTCGAGGAAGAGAGATCCTTTTGTTTGCCAGAAGCTGGGAATGAGTGACAGGGAATGATCACTTGATGATTACCTGTTCTGTTCATTCCCTTTGGGTCACCTGGCACTGTCCACTGTCGGAAGACAGGATACTGGGCTGGATGGACCTTTGGTCTGACCCAGTAGGGCCATTCTTATATTCTTATATATATCTTTAAGGTTGAGACAATAAAGATACAATGAATAATGGCATATTACAAGAACCTAGCTGTGGGATCAAGATTCTGGTCCATGCTGCTACCTCTTTTACACCTCTCTGGTGAAGTAAAGCGCCTCCAAGGAACATCCCCAATGCAGAAACAACATAGGCAGCCCTACACACCCTCTCCCTTCTGTGCAGCCCCTGCAATAGGGGATGTTATGGGGAGTGTCCAGAGCACTCTGAACTCTGGGTATTCTGTGCTACAGAACTGACTTATGCCAGGATCTACATCGGCCCCTGAAGCAGCCCAGAATTAGGGAAGCACTCATCTGGCAAAAAAGCCATCTTTGCCCCTCACCCATGGGCAACACCTTCTGCACTGTGAATCCTGAGAGGCACAGCACTGAATATGGCCCAGATTCTTGATAAAAAGTATGCACAAAGTACGTTTTATAATAAAGCTACAAATAATGTCACAAGACTTGCTGTGATTTTGAACTTAAATATTTTGCTGAATAGGATAATCTCCTAAAAATGAAACATTACTGTGTCCCAATGACAAGGCAACAGCATTATGCCCTATGCCCTCTTAAAAGCAGTAGTTCCTGGAATTCCTTGGCAGCACCAAAACACATAAGTGTATTCTGCCTACAAGTATTGCCCTTTGGAAACGCAAGTCACCAGCAGAAATAGATCTACTATATCATTTATATGGCATTAGACTATCATCCCGCCAGCACTTCTAACCTCCAAACACATACCTTAAATACCTTAAATTCAGGCTCTGATACCTTCACTTTTTTTGACCTGTGCTCACTGGTTACCAGCTTTCAGTTACCTTGCTATCTGAACTCTAGAATATTTCTCTAAGGAGAATACTGTTTTTTACCTCTCCTATTGTATGTATTGCTAACAACAAGGTTCTGGTTTTTTGCAGATCATTAAAGGAACTGTTTTATCTGAGAGCTCCTTACTGAGTATTATACATTTTGTAGTGTTTTTGTAGTCATGTTGGTCCCAGGGAGAGAGACAAGGTAGGTGAGGCAATATCTTTTTTTGAATCAACTTCTGTTGGTAGAAGGGGAAAGCTTTTGAGCTTCACAGAGCTCTTCTTCAGATTTAGAGAAAATAACCTTTTAGGTTACTAATAAGTGTCAGTTAGAGGAAGATGATCTTGTGGTTTAAGATATGGGGTTTGGGTTCAAATTTCTGACTCAGCCACAGACTTCCTGAGTGAGCATTGGGAAGTGACTTCACCGCTCTGTCTCAGGCTTCCCATCTGTAAAATGTTTCTGTTTCTTTCTATTTAGATTACAAGCTCATTGGGGCAGGGATGGTCTTCTACTATGTACATAGGCAGCACCTTTCACAGTGCAGCCTTGATTAGATCTGTGGTGAATTATTGATTTTTCAGATTCAGTTCTGGAGAAAAAAAATCAAAAAGAAAACAAAACCTGTTTCAGGGTCAACCCACACACATTTTAAAAAAATATTTCAATGAATTGAAAAATTCCATTTTAGGAAACTTGAACTGTTTGATTTTATATATATATATATATATAAGCAAGCAGAGGAAATGAAGGGCAAGATTCACAGGGAGATGTAGGTGCCATTCACAAAACAAAGAGGGTGTAGTGATGCCCTGTTTATACTCACTACTTAGGGCACTAACCTGAGAGAGACTCAGGTTTAAATCCTAGCTGTAGGGCAAGGACTTGAACCCAGGCTTCCTACAGACAAGATGAGGGCCCTAACCCAGCACACTATAGGCTACTTTAGGGAGGGCCTCTCTCAATCTTTCCTGTTGAAGCTCTTCCATTTTGTATAAATAATTAAAGCTCTTCATAGGCACATGACTAGAACCCAGGTGGTCCCCCTCTCCTCAATGAGCACCCAAGCTATAGTGTCATTTTCCCTTACTGGCATGACCTCTTCCTCCTCTTCAGTTTTGTGAATGGTGCCTACTACCCCTTGTGAATCTAGCTCCCCAAAAAATCAAAATATTTTGGAAATATCAAAATTAACCACTTGGACATTTCTATTTCTTCGACTGAAACAATTTGCCAAAATTAGCACAAATTCATGAAATGTTTCAATTGACCCGAATCTGCATTTTTCAGCCAAAAAAAAAGGGTTTCAGCCACAAAATTTCTCCCAGCATTAATGCTAGTCTCAGGTAATGATAATAAATCAATGCTGTACAGAACATAGAGAAAAAGAATGATGGTCTGGACAGCCTACAGTCTAGCAGATGATCTATAAAATGTGGGTAATAACATCCACTTATATAAATTTCTTTCAGAGCTAAAGATGAATTATGAAAATATTTTATTATTCCATTTATTCAGTACATAAAAATCTGAAGGCTTTTCTGAATTAGCCACACCTCTTCAATCAACAGAATTAGCCTGGGAATCTCAAGATGTCCTTCTTGTTGAGATTCCTGGCACTTTCCAAATGGGTTGGAAATAGCCTTCCTTTATACTATGTTAATGCTGGAACGTTTCATATTGAGTGGGAGAAAACAGAGCAGTGATGTATAAAACCAGACTGTTTGTTTATGGTGTCTGTGGGGGGTGAGGAGGTGGGGAAATGTGAAGTGAGGGGGAAGTTATCCAAACATTTCTAAACCTGCAAAAAGAGTTTGTTCAAGTTTAGGGTGAAAAAAATCATATTCTTGTAATCTGAATATTGATAAAGCTTCTCTTTTATTATAAATAAGAAATTTATCCTCTGTAGGCCTGATCCAAAGCCTATTGAAATTAACTGGGGCCTTTCTCAGGTTTTATATGGAATTATACAGGAATAATAACAAAAATGATTAACTCAGTGCAGTAGAGTCATAAAACAAAGCATGGGAAAATCAGCAGCAGGGAAGACTGATTTACTCACAGCTATTCCTCTTTTTTCCAGTTCTTTAAATACAGATTTGATTGGAGCAGAAAAAACTAGTGTGAGCTGGCATCCTCTTTCCTCAATCTGAGGTGGTGTGATTATTTTTACAAAGGGTTTCTCTGGATTTGCTTTATCCTCACTGTAGTAATGCTTTATCAGATACTCCAAGTAACCCGTTAGCAGAATGGATTTCCTTCTCAGTGCTTTCATTGTAGTTTGACCAAAGACCTACAAGGATGTAAATAATTAGAAAGATAATCCATTGCTGCAGCTGAAAACAGAAACAATAAAACAGAAACCTTCCAAAGAAGGATGAGGCCATTTTTGTCCTTTTCAATAATTTTAATCATTTCAAGAGCCACAATATTCTGGGGGCTGGATTCTTCTATCTTTAATCATGTTAAGTATTAGCTTTCTCTGTAAGTAGTACCCCTGGAACCAAGTAGTAACATGCTACCCCGTGTAAATGAAGGTAGCAGAATTGAGCCTTAGAAAATACAAGACTATGTGCTTTAAGGGCCAGATGTAAAGGGTCTCCTTATCTGCTGCTGGAGTAGTTCTGAACACATTTACCTATGCACATGGGAATCTGAAAACACAAATCAAGTGGCTAGTAGGGCAGGTATCTGGTTTGTGAATAAATATTGTCCATAAATACTGCAGGCTCCATAGTGCCACTACAATAAAAAATATGGGTGCTGGACCAGGACTAAGAATGAAAATAGCAGTTTCAAAAATCATGGGTCAGGCCCTGGAACATCTTGATATTGGCTTAAAAACCATGAGGTTGGTTTTTTTAAATAATACATTTTGAGTCCATTTTACTTGCCTTCTGGTCTTTGGAGCCTTTAGGATTCATGTTTTTAAGCTTTTCTCCACAACTACGATGTTTGGAAAAAACTGTTTCTTTCTTCTTTTCTAACTTTTAAAAAAAAGGCTCTTACCCGACTCCAGGAAATGGTGTTTTAAGACAAACTCCACATTCCACAAGACTCATGATAAAATTGTAATAGGTGGTGACACTATTTAACCCTGCTGCCACACTGAGGGGGACAAACAGTTTTGCCAAAATCTGTGAGGAATAAAAAGGAGGCATGTGTCTCTCACTTCCCCCACTGGCAGGGCATATGGAATGGCTCAGTTAAGGAAGACAATTGAAAATATGATTTTAAGACCAAGTTTAAAAACAAAACAGAACACAACATTTTGTTTGTGCATGTTGCAGGGCCAAATGACAAAATAAACTTCCAAGTACTGATTGTCCCTGAAAACCAGGTAGTTAAATCTAAGGCCAAATTCATGGAGATATCCTATCTCCTAGAACTGGAAGGGACCTTGAAAGGTCATTGAGTCCAGCCCCCTGCCTACACTACCAGGACCAAGTACTGATTTTGCCCCAGATTCCTAAGTGGCCCCCTCAAGGATTGAACTCACAACCCTGGGGGGTTTAAGCAGGCCAATGCTCAAACCACTGAGCTATCCCTCCCAGCCCCGATTCCATCCCCTACATTTTAATTTATGTCATTGCAGCTGATTGTGCCCTCTAATGATTGCAGACTCAAAAATCAGACCCTGAGGGAGAAACTTCAGAATAGTATTTAAATCATACTACATTATAATATGAAAATAAAGAGTATAAAGTGATTACAGGAAGAGATAGCCAAGAGATCCCACTTAATTTACAGCATGCTGTCTCCTCCCTGCTGAATATCCACAGGCCATTGACTCCAATACTATCATGGGCATGGAGTAACTGGCCTAAACATAGCTGAAATGCCACATCTCCTATATGCAGCGGTGTGCAAGATGTGGCTGGTCAGGCAGAGACCTTGCAGGGAGATACTGCTGCAGTGGAGGTGGATATAGAATGTGAAAGGGTCAGGAATGGATCAGCATCTTCCTGGATGGAAAACCTAAAACTAGAACCGCTCCTGTGCAGGAGGTATACAAAAGACTTTGCTGGAGCTACTGGGTTTACAGGAGGAGGAGGATTCTTGATCCCTCTCTTAGGTTGCTGGTAGAAAGCCTGGTTACTTGGTTTTGTTCAAGGAATATTTGCCGTCTGAGTTGACTTTTTCAAAAAGTTTTTTTTTAATGTGGCCATGGAGATCTTCCCACCACATGCACTTTAATCCATAAAAGGGAACAGCTAGTGCCATAACAGTCACTTTAAGCATTATTGAGGCTTCAGCACTTGCAGTTTTCATTGTTTCCATTGGAAACACTGCCTTCTGCTTAATGTGTCCCAGTGCAGGATGGCATACAATTTCACAAGCCATCTCTTGCCAGACATGGAAACTATTCTGTTTCCCACTGTCCTAGAGCAATTAGCACTGGGAAATCCTGTCTGTGCCAAAAGGGTAATGCAGGCATGAAAAGGGGAGTCAGTGGAATATGATCAGCTATCGCTCTTTGAGACTCCCTAAGGTGGGCTAAATTACATTCACCCACACAAACTGGAGTAGTGACAATCTGGGTCATAGCAGAGCTGCTTTTAGCTTATCTCTAAGGTCACTTAAAGTTTAAAAATATATTGAATGTTTAAGGACCAACAGAATAAATTGTCAAACAGAACAAGAAGTATTTCTGTGACCTTTTGCAGTCCTTCAGTTTAGTATGTAATGCTGGAGAGAAAAGATAGCCTCAGCTGGCAATTTTCTGACTTTAAAGGTTTGTTTTGTACATGTCTAAGATACTTTTTGTTTTTCATAACAAACAGATGAAAAGGTAGTGCGAGGGGGTTGGTTTTTTGTTCCAGAATTGGCTTCACCAGTACAACTAGTGCTAATAAAATGATTTTGGAAACTATTTTTAAAAATTATACCCTGTTCAGACTGGCCACAGAACATTGCTAACCAAGATTGTTTTAATCTGATTTTTAAAAAACAGTTTCTGAAGTTTGAGCGTATTGCAGCATAGAGAAAGCTATGCATCACTGCACCTTTCATCCACAAATGATCCCTGAGTGATTGAGAATCATTTGTACAGGGATACATTCACCCATCACAGAAATGCAGCCATGTCTGGAGATGAAATGTGGCAATATGCGACTGCACCACCACACAGGACATCTAAAGGGGTTCTGAATGTTTTCCTAAATGGGCTGAATTCTGCTCTCAACGTCTGATCATGGGACCTTCTGTGCATGGATTACTCCCATTCCACCATCATGGAAAAAATTTCCCTTCCCATGGCCTTCAGAGGGGGCACTCTCCTGGTTCAGGAATTAATATGGGAGGATATAGTATGGAGTGTGAGGGCCAGGGAGATGCAAATCATCCTTCCACTACTCTGATGTACTTCCCAAGTAAACTAACAGCCCCAGGCTGTAATTCCTTTCCACTCCCAAACTCTATAGTGGTAATCCCTCTTTGAGGAAGGCTCCAAAGGCCAGATACCAGCTGCTGAAATTCTGCTGCCAGGGAATAAAGGAGATGGATTCTCAGAGCTAGTTCAACCACCCAAGATCCATGACACTGGGTGGCCAGATCCTGTTTCTTCCATATTGAACAAACCTTACCCTCCTGACAAAAGAATTAAGAAGAAACTGTGTGTCGAGTTTCCTGCAGTTTTCATAGGTAAACTGCAGTGAGGCACAATCTGCCCATCAGTTACACTGGTGTGAATCTGGAGGAACTCCACTGAAAACAGCAAAGTAAGCTGAAGTCAGGAGGAGACAGTCTGGAGCTAGAGGTGAGTAACTGAGAGCAGAATTTGGCCCTGCACATTCAGAACATTGAAACATTTGAAGTGAAATGTCAAACCAGGCAAGTCCAATGAAGCCTGAAATCAAATAAAATCTTGCCTGATTCTGGGTTTTGAGTCCCACCAACAAATACTGCCAAGATTCATTTTATTCTTTTGGCAGAGGCAGATAAAATGATTCTGTTAAAAATCTCACCTGGAAACGTTCAGTTTTAGCACAATGATTTTGTATGATCTGGTGAGGTTCCATCAATTTTGTTTTATTTTCATCTTGAGTTCTTGTATTCAGATCAACCCAAAATATAAAACAAGTGTGGGGTTGCCAATAGAAAGATTTGTGAAAAGTCAACCATATCTCTCATAACCACATGTAGTCCTGGTCTAAATTTTACATTTTTAAAGAAAGACAATATTGATGAAAAATCTAAGATTCCATTCTACAATTTGTAGATTCTTAAAATTCATAGTCATAAGAAATATAACTACCTACCTCTAAACTAGCATGCAGTGCACAGACCAATAACATTGGAGGATTTGATAACCGAAATCCATTGATTCCAGGACTTAGTTGCAATTCTGGAAAATGAATAACTTCTGTTAGTTTTATTTTTTTATTTGTTTTATTCATTCAATTAAAACTTTCACTAAAGTCAGTGGGGCCTTAGGATTTGGTTCATTATCAGAGAACATGTTTACTCCACTTGCAGCTACTATTCTTCACATTGGAGGTACTCAAATTTTATCAACTGAAGATTACATTAGCAGCTTTCCAAGAGCCAGAGGACTGCAATTAATTTTCATGTACTTGAACATATTAAAATTGCCTTTAGGCCTGATTCCCTTCTCACACTGGTGTAAACTACAAGCATCTGTATTGAAGTCAATGCAGTATAAAAGGAGTACAAAACCACAGTAATTGAGAGGAGACTCAAGCTTTTTATCTTTAATATGAATAAGTGGCTTGTGGAGACTGCAGATTGCAGTGGTCCATCTTGAGCTAAACAAAGTCCACTTGGATTAAATGGAATACCACATACAAGGGACATGTAGTGTCCATAAACCCTTTTAGGTCACTACAGAACTTGGGGGGGGGGACAATTGACTTCCAGGCCAGATTTTGGTTACCACTGCTTTAGGCTTTGAAATTTCATGTGATCATGCAAGCACCAGAGCTCTTTCAATGGAAGGGAGCACCTCCCACTCACTGTGAGGACTTACTAAACTCATCTTCCTCCTGTGAACTGCCTCTACAAAATGACTTCAAGACTAGTCTTTTGTGAGTAGGAACCCAAAGGAGAGGGAGTGGAGAGTGTCTGAGGTGACAGATTTCATTTTTTATGCTCTAGAAGATGACATGTCTGATGATGGCTCTCCAGCAAGACTAGCCCAGTCTCTCTCTATACTTTTGGCCAGAATCCTTGCAGTATCTCAAAGAGAGGACTGAGGCCAGCAGTGTTGACCCAAAGTCACACTGGCAAGGACTCACATAGCAAAGCCACAAAGCAAGATTCTAACCCTCCTGCAGGCTGAGGTCTCCTCTAAGATGGGGTTGGAGGAGAGACTGACCTCCAGATTTGTTAAGTACTCCTGTGTGTCCATGCACAAGGCTATAACACAGACATTTCACTTCTTTTGAAACAGGTCATTGTTTTATTTTATACCTCATTAAGTTCTAGCTTGGGGTAGTAAAGCCACAATAGATGGCTGTTTTCAGTTAGGGCCAAATTCAGCCCCCTTCATTCATGTTTCTCATTCATTCCAATGGAATTACTCCCACCATAAAGTATTACTTAATATGAAGAAGGAAACCTAGTAGGGTAAGTCAGGTGCTTTTGAAAATTTTACCCATAGTCCAAGTTTGAATTTTTGAAAGGCCTTTTTGGTGCATTTGTTTGAGCAAACCATCCTGAAGCAAACAACTAGATTGACATGACAGTAGAGCAAATTCATTACATATGTTACTTCATTGCCTTCAGTGAAGCTGCACAACATCAGGGATGAATTGGGCCTTAATAGGTTTAACACCAGTGAGCAAATATAAAGTCTTATCATTTCTATTCAAAATAATGGTGAACAGCGATGAATGCAAGTTCTAAATCATGTGATATATTTAAAGAAGTATACATACTGTTTTCCATGAGAAATCTAGTTTTGAATTCATGACCCCACCAGCCTATTAGCCTAAAACATAACATGGAAAAAAAACTGAAAAAACAACAAAATCTTGCATTGATATATTTTAAATCTGACATGAGAGTTACTAAATAGCTTCTCATACACTAATCAAATAGTATCAGAAATACAGTAAGTTATGTAGATAGCTGGCATTAACAACTTATTTATGTGACTTGGTCATTTCTGTTTAACATTGAAAGATGATATTTATGATAGTTTTCAAACAATCAATCTATTGGGACTCTATTAATGTTCATTTTGTCTAAATTCATCTTACAAACTGAAAAATAAAGCAGAAATATTTCCAGTGTTATGTTCCTAACGGCTAAAAGGACAAACACAAATCTGCTTTGGTAAATACTGAAAACCAAAGGACATTATAAATCTGACGTAAATCCACAAAAGCAAAAATATGAACAGCAAACAAAAGATAGACAAAGAGGCCTTTGAGTAAATGGTGCAGTTGTTTCATCGTTCCATTGCAATGTTGTGCTGATGTGAATCCCAACCTGGCAATAAGTTTTCAGATTATGAAACTGGATTTATTACTCAATAATATGACCCTGTTTTTTAATGCAATTTAGTCCCATTTAATTCATAACTATATTTTTGAGACAATATGCTGAAGACATTTCAGGGTGGTTTTTTTTCCCAAAATAGAAATATTGCAGAAATTTAAATAAAATATGAAATTTTTCATCAAATATTTTGCAGTGACCTCGTATTTACTATGAGCCAGCTCATGGCCCAGCTCATGTGGTCATACAAGGATATGAGGGGAGTAAGGCAACCTCACCTCACCTCGTGTGTGGTCTCTGTAGACCTGGGGTCTCAGCACAAAGGGTTAAACTGGTGCTGGGTACCCAATACACATCTCTAAGCAACTAGGTGGCTTTTTTTTCTGTGGCTCCATCTTCACCATGCCAGCCAGCACAGTTGAGCTATCATTGTGTGGAAGGCTAGAGAGTGTGTGTAATTTGCTCCTAGCAAGAGCTAGTAGCAAATTACTTTCCACTGGAGCAAACAAGTAGTCTCTGCACTACTCCCGGAAAGGCCTAGCCACATAAAGGCCATTAAAAAGGCCAAACTGTAAAAGTCCAAGATAGACGGGACTAGATTGGTCAGTCACACTGTATGTAAAGAATTGTTATACAAACTATGTACAGTGCCAAGTAAAATGCTTACTTGTTATTTTTGGATAATTTCACCCCTATGAATAGATCCATCACTCTCCTCTCATTGTATTATATAAAGCAGACATGTGAAATAATATATAGCTAAAGAATAGTCTTACTATTCAAAGTCACATGGAAATCAACAATGAAATCATCCATTCATTTCAATGAAATTTTTGTCAAAAATAATATATTTCTAATAAAACATAATAAAAGCTATTGCCCAAATAACTCAGATGCTGGTGCTCTGAATAATAAAAAATGCATAATCAACTGTTTTATAGTATTTTACAGTATATTTCCTCTATAATAGTTTACCATCAAACACAATATTACACAATGATATTATAATAAAATCCCATTGAAATTAATGGTGCAAGTATTCCATTGAGTCCAATAGGCTTAGCATAGCAAAAAAACCCCACCAAACATGAAGTACACTACCTAGAATAATAGTGTGTAGTAAGGTTAAAAAAATACTAACGAGCAATTTACTAGTTGGGCCTTGCCATGCACTCATTCCTCAGGCAACAGAAGTCAACAGAGACCCATAGACATCAACAGGAGTACTGACCAAGTAAAGACTGATGAAGGACTACAGTCCTGGACTTCAGGTTTTAGTTCAGGTGAGACTCCAAAAGCTTGGTGTTGTATCTAAACGTATTGACTCTGTGCAACTGGCCTAGAACAGGACCTGTGGTTCATCATGTCTAGAACTTGGAAACTGAAATTTCAGAAATTGACTAAAGTTTGTAGATAGAAATGCATGAAATTTAAAGCTGGTGTAATTTTTTTAAATCGTATGGCCTGTCCCTACCATTACTAAAACACTGACAAGCTACATTTCTTTTTGCTGTTCTAGAACTCCATGGGCATCATACATGATGGATGTTTAGATACAATTCTGGTTCTACACCATCATCAATCCAATTTTTCCTATGGATGTCATTTGTTTCGTGTACGATATGTCAATAGGATTCTTAGAGGTTTTATATTTATACACACACACACACACACACACACACACACACACACACACACTA